AAATCCTTAATTCACCGAGTTAGACGTGAAAATATTCTGTCTTTGTCGGTGAGTTAAGGATTTATTACATATATAACAGTTCCAGCACATAACAAACCCACAAATTTGTTCAGGTTAAACAGGCTGATCAGTGACCTGCTGGCAGGTGTTACGCAGTCAGCTGACTGTGCTTCGTGGAGGACTGCTGTCAGTCTGTAAACTCTGTACTCACCTGTGCAGGTAGGAACATCTGAACTCTTATTACTATCTGCTACATCAGGTCTCTAGAGCTCTATGTGGATGGAGGCTCAATAAAACACTCCAGCAGTTTACAATCATCAAAGGATGAGATATCCTGACCTTGAATCCAAAAACTCTCAATCCTACATGTCACATAATGCAACTGGGACACAGACTGTATGTTAGCTCAGAGAACATTAAACATTAAAATGCTGCTTCTGTAGTCTACGAGCCTTAAACTGAAGTCAGAAGCTGATTTAATGAAGACAAACAACAAGCTGAAGGAGCCGTCGGACAGAAACTGGATGTTCTTTGTGTCCTCGCCTCGGAGAACCTCTTGCATTTAAAGTAAGTGATAAAACGTGACTCTTCACATGACCGAGGAGAGCAGATCTCAGGCTAACGCGCAGATAAATGGGTTTATTGACGGGCACCTGGAGTAGAGTCCCTCCTCCCCTGGCTGATCCGACTGCAGAACAAAAGCCTCCACTGTGCCGGAGGAGCCGAGACCGGGAACCGAGATCCTGGCCGGCTTCCTGCTCAGGTTCATAGACATCAACGTGACCGCTCCGCGTCTGTAACTGCAGAACAGAGCCAGCGTTACTATGGGAGGGCGGTCAGAGATTACAGCTGATGTTACAGCGACGTACCTCTGTCTGTGGGCGCAGTGCAGATACAGCCTCACTCTCTTACTGACGCCAACGCTGGGAAACGCCACGGCGCTCAAAACCTCCGGTCCAACCAGCCGCTTATAGAGAACGGACAGCCAGTAGTCCTGGAGGAGGTCAAACAAAAGGACAGACACTGGAACATCGTCAGTTACTTAAAGCTGCTCTCACTGACTGTTTGACCACCAGGGGGCAGCACATCCTGATACAAACTGATTTTAATTTATCTGTAAGTCAGTTCATGGATAGTTAGTCTATTTTTAGTCGTAGTAAAAGTAATTGATTAGGAAGATAACATGTTTAAACTGAATCAGATGTAGAAGTAGCAAAAACCCTTAAAACCCTACTTAAGTACACGTCTTGAGTATTTAGTAAGTTTTGGTTATTTTCCAACAGGCTGCTCAGATTAAACACACATCTTGCTACACACTCAGAGTTATAAACCATTGAGTCTTACAGGAAGAGGATCCAGGTTGTCGTCGACCAGGTGATAACTCCCAGAACCAATAAACACCTGTCGCATCACCACATCCAGCCCCAATCTGGCTGCCAGACCCAGTTTATCCAACCACCTACACACAGCATATAGTCAGCGACAGGGAAACACGTTAATCACACGTTAATAACACACCTGTACATTAATAACCCAGGTAGCTGTGTTAGGAGTTATTATTATGTATGAGAGGACTATTTAATGATTTAATGTCGCTATGACAACCACACGTGAGCCTCGTTGTGAGGGAGCAGCAGGGCAGCTTTAAGGTCTGTCATGAGACCGGGGCTGCTGGGTAATCAGTAAATTAAATTAAGTTCCTGTAGTGGTCCTGAGGAACCACCAACCTCCTGTTAAACACAGCGAGTACATTCCTGCTGGCTCTACGTTAACGTGATGTTCTCTGTTTGACCAACAATCCAAAACCCAAACCTTTCATTCATCATCAGAAAGACTAAAAAGTGGTTTAATAAATTAATTAATCATCAACATTGTTGCTGAATAATGTCCTGTTGAGCTAATGGTTTCAGCTCTGAGTGAAGTGTGTGGTTCTGGTCTCCGGACTCTTGACCCACATGTGGTCTCTGGACTGGATGGTCTCGTACGAACTCACATGAATCCAGCCACGAATGTGTCCGACAGTCCCACGGCTCCTCCTCCGTACGCTGAGCTCGTCTCTCCCAACCACACCGGCTTCACAGGAGACACCAGCTTCACTCTCTAAACGCGGAGAGAGAGAGAACATCCAGCTTAACAACCCGACGTCACCCCCGTATCCCTCTGCCTGTGCCGCACATTGTTACCTCCAGGACTTCGTGGGTCTTTAAGGCCAGAGTGTCCAGAACCTCGGGGTCTAGAAAGTCCTCCACGGACGTGTCTCTGCCGTTCACATAGTAGCTAGAGAACAGGATGAATACTTTTATTATTCAGATATTAACAAATCAAACTCTTCCTGTAACGAGAGGCGTCATTACATCAGGACCACGAGTACCGATTCATGCTAAATCAATTGGTGCCGAATTTTGGTACCTGAGAGTTAAACTCCTTGTAAATCCTTAATTCACTGAAATATTCTCCCGATATTCTCTCATCTACGTCGGTGAATTAAGGAATTTATCTTATACAACAGAGTTGGCGATTATAGTTGGAACAGAACACTACAGGAGACGGCTTTTAATCAGTTTGATTCTGTTTCTGTTCACTTTGAAGTGTTTTATTATCTGTGGAGTCTGGTGGGCACCATTGATTTGATCTGAGATACTGGAGCTCTAGTGCGACATCTAGTGTCAGTAAAGTTCATATATAAAACCGTGGACATATGTTCCACATTTATAATCTTCAGAAAACAATAAGGTAACAGTTTGTGAGAGCAGATCAGGAAGTGGATGGAGTTGATGGTGTGTAATGATGCTTTATGGCTGATATAAAGGCTGTGAACTGTAAAGGTGAACTCACTGGTGCCAGGTGACAGCGTCCACTGCCTCAGCTCCAGTCTGCAGGAACCTACAGCAAACACACACATCTTATCTTACTCACTGGTTGGCTGTGAGCTATTTACAGTGAGTGGTAGAATTAACTTTATCAGTACAACAAACACAGCTGCTAACCCTACCCCTGCACAAGAGTCATTATTGAACTAGTGTTTTGCTAACTAGCTGTGTAATGATTGATGTAGAATATCTAGAGCTTCATTAAAAGATAAAAGAAATAAAAGAAAACACTGTCTAATTAGCAAACTAAAGATTAATGTAAATTAGTTATGCTAACATTAGCTAACTTAAGATATGACTATGTTTCATTTTAAATAAAATGTGTCCTGGTAATTAAATATTTCTCAGTTTATTTCTGACTGGATGAAAATATCTCATCAATAATGAGTTGTTATTAATAAAGGGTTTGTAATTGAAGTGAATGTGAAACATTTATTGACATATTATTGATCCACTGGCTCTATAGAGACAGTGTGACCTCTCACCCCTCCAGGATGTCTGTCCGGCGGTCTCGTGGCTGCCCGACGTCCGGCCCGTATAGCCCGGCGCCGTGGTACAGTTGGGACTTTGACATCATCTCTCTGAGGCGGGTGAAGTCCTCTCCGAGCTGATATCCGTCCACTCGAATTCCCGCCTTCTTCTCGTAACTGTTGGGCTCTGAAGACAGATGACATGTTCACTTCCTGCAACACTAAACCACTCAAACAGTTTCCCTTCTCACATCAAACAACTTCCTGAACACATCACAATCACATGAACACAAGGAAGTGAAACTCAAACCTCAGATAACAGACCACACACACACACACACACACACACACACACACACACACACAACACACACAAAAAACTCTTTAAAATGAATCTTGGTGACTTTATATTTTTCAATTTCAGCCCAAATCAACCAATTCTGTCACAGTCTGTCCTCTTCCTGTTTGCTCTATTAAAAACATAAAAGAGACATTCACAGCTAAGTTAGCTAATGTTAACAAAACGCTGGCTAACAAACTAAAGATTCATATAATTGAGTTTATATTGATGTTAATTAGTTAGCTAGTCAGCTTGTGTTTTACTGTTTAGCAAAACATAAGCTAACTAGCTAGGTAACCAGCGTTGCTAACATTAGTTTTCAGATGTAGTTAACTTGCTAACACTTGATGTTGATTAGACGACGTTAACTTATCCGGTAACAAATGTCCTGATATTTTGTTCTATTGATATAAATGCAGATGTGTGCCGCTGTGTACCGTTGCCGAGCTCCCAGGACATCCTGTACTGTCTGGACTCGCAGTACTGCAGCAGTAAGTGGGCGTTGCTGCTGTTCCAGGTGTTATTAGCTGTTCTGAGCAGAGCGTTGAGCCCAAAGATCAGATCCATCCCCGAACAGTTGGTGAGGGAGTGCAGCTGGTCGACAGTGTACTCTGTCACAGCAGGAGGACACAACTGTCAGAGGAGCAACTACATTTATAGAAGACGAGGAAGGAAACCGAAAATCTGGCTAAAAATAATATAGGAGTCATTTACTGAAGATGGTGAATCATTTCTGACATTTTCAAAATGGACGTTTAAACCAGAATTGACCATATTTCAACTCCCAGTGGGATTTTGATAAATTCTGAGTTGGTTTTGATGCAAAAAAAATGCTGTTTGCTGGGTTGTTTGTAGGACTACGGTTCCACAGATGAGAGAAATGTAGAGCGGTGTTTCATCTGCATAGAGTAACATACATTCTGTGTTTACCAACATGAGCGTGTTAATTAAACAGCAGTGGTCCAAACATTGAGCCCTGTGGAACCCCTGATAACATTTGAACAGATTATAAACACGTACCTGTGAACTTCACTCTTTTGTACTTCCTCTGCAGATCTTCTCTCATCAGGATCACTTGTTGTTGAGTCCAGTCGTTCTTCAGCTTCTTCTCCAGCCACAACGGCAACTCCAGCGTATCACAGGATTGTTCTAACAACGACAGGGAATCTGATTTATATCGCACATTTCATTACATGTAAGCTGTTGCTTTTATTAATATGGAAAGGAGAACGAGGCGTCCATTATCAGGGATTAATGGATGACGTGGAGGCCATTAATCCCTGATAATGGATAACTGACAGAGCTAACGTTACACTAACTAACACTAATGTTACGCTATGAGACAGAAAGCTGGAATATTAATTGAACTTACAAACTAAGTTAGTGTCACTTACTAGTAAAATCTGCTAAATCTTTTTTAATTTCTAAAATTAAGTTTGTGTTACTTTAACATTTTTTGATGTTATCAGTGTCAACAATTAAAAATAAAAGTTAAAATAACTTATCGCATTACAGCGTGCGATGTAGCTGTTTCCAGGTTTGAGGTCGGTCTGTAGTTCCTGATCGGTTCCAGAGGAGGAGATAAAGTATTATTGTGTTTTATTTACTGAAGCTACCTGCAGTGAAACCGGAGTCCGGCCGAAGTCTCTGAGGACTGAACACCATGAAGTCTTGTTTGGTCCCCCCAAACCTCAAAAACGCCGGAGTCAAAGCTTTAGCCAACGTCCTGATCTTCGGAGAGCTGGAGAGGACAAAACAAACCGTAGTGATCAATAATGATATGATCAGTTTCTGTCTCTCAGCTGAACTGGATCGTTGAGTTGATCGTCTGTTTTCAAACGTGAACGAACTAAAACTCTGGAAGTTTAGATTTTGATTGAACATAAAGAGTTTAAATTAATGTTTCTGAGTCTTTAAAACGTAAAATTAAATTATGTTCAACAAAAGTAAAACACTGAGTTCAGCAAACTTTCCCTTTACAATCAATATTTTACTCAATAATCGGTGTCATAAAACCAAAAGTATTTGCATTGATTACTCATAAATTCACATTATCAATATCAACACAACTTCAGATTTATTCAAAACAACTGAATTAATTTGATATATTTTAGAGCTGATTGAACAAAGAGAGAAACTCATCTCTGATCAATATTGACAGGAAATAATAAAACTGCAGTTATTGAGTTCACCGTTTGTGTTCATTGATCAGTTGATCAGCTGCTGTTATTGATACTAATATAGTTGCTGATATTGCTGATATTAATCAATATGAAACATCCATTGAACAGTCAGTTTACCGGTTGAACCGGTTGATAAAGTTGTTTTAAAGGTTGATTTCAATCGTTTTGATTTCTGTTTAAACACAAACCGGTTCCTGTAGACCCTGATCCGGAGTCCAGAGGACCCAGAGCACATTAACTAACAGGATTTATTAAAACCCGGACCCAGACAGAGCCAGACCTCAGCAGGGACATGAAGCGCTCCTCCGCAGCCAGGCTGGCATCGATGGTGACTGACAGAAAGCGCGGATCCACCCGGCGGACCAGATCCAGCCGGTCCAGCCCCACAGCGGGGTCTGAAGAGTTCTGGTTCGGGTCTCTCATGTGGACTGCGTCAGTCCGGGAGCAGAGGAGGGACAGGAGCACCAGGACCGCGACTGACTTCATGACTGCAGACAGACACATGCTCAACACTTCCTGTTCACACCGGGACCAGGTCGATCCTCCACAGACCTGCAGGGGGACCACGTACACACCGACAGTGACCAGAGACCAGAGTCCGGAGTCCGGAGTCGTGGAAGAAGTAAAATAACTACCACAGTATAAAAGTACTCCATTACAAGTAAAGGTACCTGTTTATAATCCCCATTTCACTAAATGTAATCCGATTACATCTTTTGTTCTGTAACTGTAATGGATTACAGTTACCTATCCTGATCTCTCACTCACATGTAATCCATTGATTGACCACGGCCATATAAAGTACTCCATTACAAGTAAAAGTAGTGCCACATCGGTTACTTTAAAAATGTAATCTGATTACTAATTACCTGTTAAAAATGTAGTCAGTAACCTAATCCAAGTATCACAATATTAAAGTAACTTTATTACATCGTTGATCTGAGTGTAATCAATAAAACAGAATAATTATAATCCTGCTAATAATCCCCATTATCAGTGAATGTAACTGTAATCTGATTACATATTTGTTAAGTAACTGTAATGGATTAGTTACCTTGTTTGTGTCCTGATTACGTAACTCAGTTTCATGTAATCTATTACTCCTGAAGCCTAAAAATCTGAATAATTAAAAACCTTGTCTTCATAAAGTAACAGAATACTCTCTGAACTGTAGTTACATTTTTAACCGTCATTAGATAATCAATAATATTAACGATTGATCTCAGATTCAGACAATAAACGACAATCTATGAAAACACCAGAAACCCTCCAGATACTTTAATATTTAATATTCTACATCTCTTATAAACAAATATATTTATTATATTGTATTAAAATGTTTTACTGCAAAAGAGGTTCAGTAATCAATATTAATATCATTTATTTATTGATTATATTTTGTTTTATTAACCAAAGAAACTAAAGTTATTAAATAAATGTAATAAAAAAACAAAATATAGAAATAAAAGTGTCGCACTGATGCCTTTATGTTTATCATATATCTTAATAATAATAATAATAATAATAATAATAATAATGACTTTATGAGGATCAATAAAGTGTGATGTCAACATATACCAATAATTAAATGTGTGTTTTACAGTTTCTATTATTGATCAGTGGAGTAAAAATGATTCTAATGTTTGGGCACAAAAACATCAAACACAAAGTATAAAAGTAACTAAGTACCTTTACTCAAGTACTCTATGCGAGTACACTCATAATGTTTATAAGTAAATAAAATAACAGGTATAAAAATAAACAATATAAAACACTTTCAGTATTTTAATGAAACATTTCTTCTCAGTCAGTTCGGCTCCGGCGCCGTCGGAAGGTCGGATGGCGCCGTCAGCAGCTCGTCCACTTCCTCCTGAAGTGCCGCCGCCTTCTCGTTCACCAGCATCTGGAAGCAGAGAGACGCCGTCTGATCACACGCTCACTGTCACAGCGTGACGTCACAGCGTGATGTCACAGCGCAGCACACTCACTTTAGCAGACGCCACGATCTGATCCGCCTGCTTCCTGAACAGGTTCTCTATCGTCTCGGAGAGGACGGCGGGGTCGGCGTTCGCCAGGTGAGTCAGTGTTTTATAGCCGGCGTTGTAGAGCTGCTTCGCTCGCACCTGCAGGGAAAAACAGACGTTAGCTCGTTAATGTTGTTGTATAATATCACAGATTATATTTTTACTTTGGAAACAAGGATTCATTTCCTGTTGACTGATGAACCTTAATAAACGTGTTTCACTGACCTCCATGACTCCGGCGACCTCCATCAGAGGGACGAGTTCAGCCTTCACGCAGTAGCTCAGCCTCCGGGTCAGCTCCTTCAGCAGAGCCCTGAACGGCCACAACTCCTCCAGCTCCTGAGCACACACAGGAACATTGATCAGTCTGACAGACCTGAGATCAGCTCGACGTCGCTCTGACAGTTTCAGTATGGGTACCTCGGTGAAGTGCAGCACGCAGGAGCAGAACGCCGACGAGGAGCTGAGCAGGCTCTGGATGAAGCCTCGGCTCATCTGGAACTTGTCGGCGACGCTCCACAGGTCGGTCTCCTTCAGCAGAGTGAACAGGACCAGAGCCAGGTACATCCGGCCCACCACCTCCATGTTCACGCTCTGAAACACACGAAGGAGACGTGGCGTTGGTTCGGCACAACCAGGACGAGTCTGGTGGGCCGTAGCACCCGTTGTTCTGATCTACTCTTGTGCGACATCTAGTGGCAGTAAAGTTCATATATAAAACCTTTAATTTAAGTTAATAGATTCCTGAATTTATAATCCATTTTAGTAATTAATAACATCAAAGTTATAATCTTTTAAAGCAGTAATACGCAGATTGTTGTTGTTTGTTCCACTAACA